AAAAAAAAAAAAAAAAAGAAATAAAGTAAAAGCATGCATTGTAGACTACTTCAAGATTTAAGTGGCCAAACGCAGTGACTCACACCTGTAATCCCAGCACTTTGGGAGGCCGAGACGGGTGGATCATGAGGTCAGGAGTTCAAGACCAGACTGGCCAACATGGCGAAACCCCATCTCTACTAAAAAATACAAAAATTAGCTGGGCATGGTGGCTTGTACCTGTAGTGCCAGCTACTTGGGAGGCTGAGGTAGGAGAACTGCTTGAACCCGGACCCTGGACGCGGAGGTTGCAGTGAGCCAAGATTCCGCCACTGCACTCCAGCCTGGGCTACAGAGTGAGACTCCATCTCAAACAAACAAACAAAAAGATTTAAGTATGATAATGATGAAATTAAAAGAAAATCTGGGAGCAGGTGAAAAGCTAAGTAATGATAAATCTAAATGTGACGGGGCTGGCTGCGGTAGCTCACGCCTGTAATCCCAGCACTTTGGGAGGCCAAGGCAGGCAGATCACCTGAGGTCAGGAGTTCAAGAACAGCCTGACCAACATGGAGAAACCCTGTCTCTACTAAAAATACAAAATTAGCCAGGCATGGTGGCACATGCCTGTATCCCAGCTACTTGGGAGGCTGAGGCAAGAGAACTGCTTGAACCCGGGAGGCAGAGGTTGCAGTGAGCCAAGATCACAACACTGCACTCCAGCCTGGGCAACAAGAGTGAAACTTGGTCTTTACAAAAAAAAAAAAAGGATGGAAATTCCTTGAATTTTCCAACAGACATATCCAGTAAACTATTAGAGGAACAAACGTGCATGGGACACACATTTGGGAGTCATCAGCATGTAAAACATCTGAGAGAAGACAGAGAGGGGAATAAAGAATCAAGTACTGATGAGAATAACAGTGCTAAGAGGCTCAAGAAACTACAAACAAATCAGAAAAGTAGTAATCAGAAGGGAAAACCAGGATGGTAAATTAACACAAAGAGCAAGAAAAGAACATTAAGAAGCCTCGGTGGAAATAGTAACACATATATACTAGCTGAAAAGAGTCAGGATGAAGCCAAAATAATCGACACAAAGGATGTCCTCTAAAGCAACAATCTGAATTATGATATTCCAAAACTGCCTAAGTTAGGAAAGTAGTAGTAAAAGAACTCAGGACTTAACTAGCCTGGACAACACAGTGAGACCTCGTCTCTACCAGAAAAACACGAAATTAGCCAGTCTTGGTGGCAAATGCCTGTACTCCCAGCTACTCAGGAACTGAGGTAGGAGGATCACCTAAGCCTGGGGAGGATGCAGTGAGCTGCAACTGCACTCCAGCCTGGGCAACACAGTGAGACCCTGTCTCTGAAAAAAAAAAAAAAAAAAAAAAAAAAAACAACTCAGGGCAGTAACTATAATTCAATTCTTAAAATTTTCGAAATAAAGAAGAGAAATGCGGCAGATAGCTGCAAAGAACAGTAGCAGCAGTTAATCAAAACTGATTTTTTTTCCTCCCAAAGTACAGGAGTCTGTACATATTTGAAGGTAGGGAAGAAAAAACACTGCAAATAACAACCACAGTGACAAGAGAGGTAAACTTAACTGTGGCAGCAAGATTCTTCTTCCATTCAATTTACAAAATAAAATGAAAGAATAGAGATTTGTTATGGTGACAATGAAAAAAAATGTGCAAGTTTACACCTGGTTTTTCTTTTTCATTTAAACAGAAGTAAATGGCATCTACTGAGAGTTAAAGAGGAAGAAGGAATATAAGACAACAGAAAAATGCAATTAATAAGATGATTGCCAAGAAGTAGGAAGGGCCTATTTGGAATTGTTGAGCATAAATTTATAGTGGCCAAGATAATCTTCATAATTACTCACCTTCCTCCACAAATATGCTGTGACCTGTGAGGGAAAACAGAATAAATCGATGGTGGAAAAATTTGACAACAGGAGTCCAGTAAAACATAAAATAAATGAATGATATCAAAATACAGACTCTATCTAGTGCCTACAGGAGTAAGGTAAAGTCTTAGTCTGTTTGGGCAGCTATAAAACAAAATACCATGAACTGGGTGGCTTACAAACAACAGAAAATGACTTTTTGTTTGTTTGTTTGGTAGAGATGGGGTCTCACTATGTTGCCAAGGCTGGTCTCAAGTAATCCTCCCGCCTCAGCCTCCCAAAGTGCCAGGATTACACGCATGAACCGCCACACTCAGCCCAGAAAAATTATCTTTAATAGTTCTGAAGGTTGAGAAATCCAAACTAAGGCACTGGCAGATTCAGTATCTGCTAAGGGCCTGTTTCTAGACAGCAGTCTTTTTGCTGTAACCTCACATGAAAGAAAGGGCTAACAAGCTGCCTAGAGTCTTTTTTTTTTTTGAGACGGAGTCTCACTCTGTCACCCAGACTGGGTGTAGTGGTACAATCTGAGCTCACTGCAACCTCCACCAGCCGGGTTCAAGCAAGTCTCCTGCCTTAGCCTCTCATGTAGCTGGGATTACTGGCTCCTTCCTTCCACAACACTCAGCTAATTTTTGTATTTTTACTAGAGACAAGATTTCACCATCTTGGCCAGGCTGGTCTTGAATTCCCAACCTCATGATCCACCCACCTCGACCTCCCAAAATGCTGGGAGTACAGGCATGAGCCACCCCGCCCAGCCTGGAGTCTCATTTATAAAAGCATTAATCCCATTCATTAGGGTTCCAACCACCTGAGCTAATTCCTCCCAAAGGCCCCACCTCCTAATATCATCATCTTGGAGATTAAGATTTCAGCATGAATTTTGGGGAGATAAAAGCATTCAGACCATAGCACTAAGGAAGAGAAACTGGGAGTCTCTATGAATGAAACACATAAAGGAACACAGGAAAAGTAATCACATGGGCAAAGATCATAGAGTTCACACAACCCATTTAGGAGATAAAGGTACAGTATACACCATACTAATTTTTTTTAACTTTTTATTATTAAAAATAATAAATACGGAACCCATCACAAATTTACATGTCCTCCTTGTGCCCACGCTAATCTTTTCTGCATCGTTCCAATTTTAGTACATGTGCTGCAGAAGCAAGCACCATACTAGTCATTATTTTTTCCTCTGTTTGGATATAAATTAAGTGCTATGGACATAAAAGATTACAGGAGTCAGAAGGGGCTATACATCCAAAACTCTTATAAGAATAAGAATCAGCCTAATTCCAAAATTCAGTACTGTAATTTTTATGACCACCTCAGTCTCCACAACCACAGAACGGGTGTGTTAAAGACAGGTATAGTGGCATCTACCCACCTCCTTTAAAGAATCACTACTACAGGCTGGGTGCCGTGGCTCACACCTGTAATCTCGGCACTTTGGGAGGCCAGTGGGCAGATCACTTGAGGTCGGGAGTTCGAGATCAGGCTGGCCAACGTGGCTAAGCCCTGTCTCTACTAAAAATACAAAAATTAGCTGGGCATGGTGGTGGGCGCCTGTAACTGCAGCTACTTGGGAGAATCACTTGAAACTGGGGGGCAGAGGATGCAGTGAGCTGAGATCACGCCACTGCACTCCATCCTGAGCAACAGAGTGAAACTGTGTCTCCAAAAAAAAAAATATCTTGGGCCAGGCGTGTTGGCTCACACCCATAATCCCAGCACTTTGGGAGGCGGGGTTGGGCAGATCATGAGGTCAGGAGATGGAGACCATCCTCACTAACGCACAGTGAAACCGTGTGGCCTCCACTAAAAATACAAAAAAATTTGCAGGAGTGGTGGCGCGCGCCTGTAGTCCCAGCTACTCGGGAGGCTGAGGTAGGAGAATGGCTTGAACCCAGGAGGTGGAGGTTGCAGGGAGGCAGAGGTTGCAGTAAGCCGAGATCGTGCCCTTGCACTCTAGACTGGGTGACAGAGCAAGACTCCGTACTAAAAAAAAATAAAAAAAAATAAAAAAAAATAAAAAAAAATTAGTTGGGCACGATGGTGCGTGCCTGTAGTCCCAGCTACTCGGGAGGCTGAGTCAGGAGAATCACTTGAACCCGGGAGGTGGAATTTGCAGTGAGCCGAAATCGCACCACTGCACTCCAGCCTGGGCGACAGAGCAAGACTCTGTCTCAAAAAAAAAAAAAGAATATTATTCCTCAAGTATAATGAGACATAAACAAGCTATTTGGGTTATAGGAATGCTCAAAGCTCTTTTAGAAAAAAATTATACTACATAATGTAATATAATCACACCATAACTTTATATTATAACTTTAGGATAATTCTTAATAAGAGAATCACAGTCAGGGCCAACAGGGGCAGTTTTTCAAAGTTTCAATTTTTTTTTTTTTTTTTTTTTTGAGACAGAGTCTTGTTCTCTGTCACCCAGGATGGAATACAGTGGCATAATATCAGCTCACTACAACCTCCACCTCCCAAGCTCAAGTAGTGCTCCCGCCTTGGCCTCCCGAGTTGCTGGGACTATAAGTGCATGCCACCATGCCTGGCTAATTTTTGTATTTTTAATAGAGATGGGGTTTCACCATGTTGGCCAGGCTAGTCTCGAACTCCTGACCTCAAGTGATCTGCCCACCTTGGCCTCCCAAAGTGCTGGGATTACAGGCATAAGCCACTGCACCCAGCCTAAAAGTTTCAAATTTAAAATTAAAAAAAAAAAATAACAGTATCAGTGTGCTCAGTATTTTTTAAACCAAAGGAGATAGAGGTGGACGTTTTCCTTTTTTTTTTTTTTTTTTTGAGACAGAGTTTGGCTCTTGTGCCTAGGCTGGAGTGCAATGGCACAATCTCGGCTCACTACAACCTCTGCCTCCTGGGTTCAAGCAATTCTCCTGCCTCAGCCTCCCTAGCAGCTGGGATTACAGGTGCCCACCACCATGCTCGGCTACCACTATTTTAATTGACTGTTAAATTTACCATGTACTATAAAACTATATAATACCATGAAAAGATGTTTTAATATTGTAATAAATTAGGACTAAAAATTGAGTAAATACTTAATAGGTTCCTTATCTGCAATTCCAAAAATCCAAAAAAACTTCTGAAACCCCAACTAACTCATCTTGTGTTAAACCTTACGCAAACTGATATGAAGCTATTCATGGTCTTTATCCTATTTAGTGCAAACATTCATACATTTTGCTATAGAAATAGTAACACTTTTGAAGGCAGGTATTGCACTGGATTCTGTTAAAAGGCCACACATTACTACCTTGCCCATATCAAAAAAAAATCTTATTCCAAAACCCTAAGAATTTGAATAGTGAACTGTTATCCTATAATTGCTAACAATTGATTGAGCTATTAACTATGTGTCAGGTACTGTTCTCTTCACTTTATATGAAATAACTCATTTAATCTTTCCAATTATCATGAGCTAGGTATTATAATAATACCATTTTACAAAGAAGTAAACTGAGACACGGAAAGATAAGTAAACTGCCTAAAATCACAAAGCTAGAGTGTAACTAGCTGGGATGACGCTGGGATAAATATTTAAAATATTACACATAAGATTAACAAAACATAAGAGAATTGATTATGGTAAGGTGGTAGGAGTCAGTGATATATTTCTCTATTCAATTGACATTACTTCCAGAGTAAGGAATCAAACAAAAAATTACAAAACACTACATGCATTTATAAATTCTCATTTAAGTACAATTTCCATGAACTTGCTTAAAATGCAGAGAATAAACCCAAATTTCTCAGCTTATGCTAATATTTTTTTTATTGCAAAATAACATCTTAATATCTTAATTACAACACACAATAATTCATATTCATTGAAGAAGTTAGAAAATTTGAATAAGCAAAAAGAAAATAATCATCTATAAAACTATACTCAGAAATAACCATTTAACAATTTGGCACATATCCTTCCAGACATCAATATATTATTGTTTTGGGCTTTTTTTTACCAAAATGAAATCATGTTTTTAAATCTACTTTTTCTCACGTATACCAAGACATCGTTTCATGTCTTTATATTATCTTTACATCATTTTCATGGCTGAGTAGGCAGTACCCCACTGTAGGGACAGACCTTAACAATCACTGTGAAACATTTAGATTGTTTACAATTTTACCACATTATGATCAAGAGTACTGGCTCTGGAGTCACACTGGTTGGATTCAAGGCCTGGCCCTAATACTTACTAACTCAGCTACCTTGAGCAAGCAACCTAATTTCTCTATGCCTGTTTTCTCTTCAGCAAAACAAAAATAGTACTACCCACTTCATATGATTACTGTGGGGGTTAAAGGCATTAATACACAGCTTTTATTATCAACAAAACGGCAGTTGGTATGTTCACAGCTAAATCTTCACACACATCTTTACTACATCAAAAAAAAGCCTTTAAAGGGAATTTTCATATCAGAAGGTATGCCCATTTTTAAGGCTCTGAGTCTGCCAAATTAGTGTGGTTTAAAGCCCTTCTTCAAATAGCCTTCTCACTTAACACTCATTTCTCTTTATCCAAGAAGGCAAAAACTATTATCCAATAAAGTTAATCAGCTTGGTTCAGTCAATTAGCTTTTTGTGCTTCCACCTGTAAACCTCGGCATATTTAACAAAACCTTAAAGTTTATAGGTAACTAGAAGACACCTGGCCCAAATTCTCCTTCAGCACAATTCCTGCACTCTAGAAACCCCAACTTGTCAGTGAATAGGACAGACTACCACCCAAAACAACCCATTCTATTTTTACAGGTTTGAGCAAATATCTCTTGGAAGAGAGCTGAAATCTACTTCTTTTAAACTTCTACCCACTGACCCTAGTTCCTTCTGGTCAAGGCAAATCTGATCCTTCTGTGTGACAGAACTCCAAATCCTTAAAGGTAGCTGTTACTTCTTAAAAGAAACTTCACTTCTTTAGGTCAAACACCCCATTTTTTCAACTTTTTCTCATTTCAAATTTCTCTCACATTTATTCTCTACAGATAAGTGATTTCAACACTTAAACATGTCCACCACCTTGGAAATGAGAAAAACAGAGGTCTGGTCCTAGCTTACTTAATCTTGAGCCTGTGTGTGTGTGTGTGTGTTTTTTTTTTATTAGCTCTCCAGATGATGCTGAAAGAGTCTGAGAATGAATACAAGGTCTCACTTATGATAGTATGCTACCCAAAAAGCCGTCCCAATACCCCAAGTATAATATAACCAGTACAAAATAAAGTGGGTCTAACCTTGCTCTTTCAATAAGCTGTTCTACCAACTTAAGAATTATTCACGGACAGGTATGGTGGCTGACGCCTGTAATCCCAACATTTGAGAGGCCGTGGTGGGAGGATCACTTGAGTCCATGAGTTTGAGACCAGCCTAGGCAACATAGTGAGATCTTGTCTCTACAAAAAAACTAAAAAATTAGCCGGATGTGTTGGCACATACCTGTAGTTCCAGCTACTCAAGAGGTTGAGGCAGAGGCAGGATCGCTTGAACCTGAAAGGTGGCGCGTGCCGTGAAACATAATTGCATCACTGCACTCAGCCTTGGTAACGGAGCAAGCAAGACTCTATCAAAGAAAAAAAAGGGGCAGAGGGGGAGACAGGGTGGGAAGGGGAGAGAGAAAGGGGAGAAGGAGTAAAGGGAGGGAGAGAAAGAGAGAGAGAAAGGTGCACTAGGTCACCAACAACTGAACTGACAGCTGATTGCATCAAAGCATCTTCTGTGTATAGAGCACTGGGATGTGAACACAGAGAAAAAACACAGGCCCTAATACTGATCTCATCTAATGCTAGATTTACCTTCCAGAAAGCATGAAGGAACAAACATCTTCAGAAAGGTGTAATACTAACTATAGCTGTCCCAAAGTAGACATATCAGAGCTATAGAAACATTGTGATTACTAGCTGGAAATCATAATAGTTGTTGGGGAGGAGGGAGGAGGGGAGACATGACACTAAGGAAACTAAGTTGCTCTGGCTCTGAACGTCAAGATTTTGTGTGGGTTTGTTTTTTAATGTTTGCAAAGTTAAAGTCAGAGAGAAGAGATGGAGGCCATCAGTGAGTTCATCTGAACTCAGGCTACTTAAAAAAAGAGACTGGGTAACCGCCTCATGCACCCTCAAAAATAAATTCATGATTCAAAACTTCATGTAATTTCTGAATTCCTCATGATACGCAGTTTCACAATGTCAGCCAGGCTGGTCTCGAACTCCTGACCTCAGGCTATCTGCCTGCCTCCGCCTCCCAAAGTGTCGGGATTACAGGCGTGAGCCACCGCGCCCGGCCAAACCAAGCAAGTATAATTAACCAAGATCCAATCTATTTTCATTTAAAATAGCAAACATTAAAAATACACCTGGTGTTTTCTAACAATTACACGAAGAATGACCAGATGCTTCCTGTTGATGGAACAGTAGAGAACTACAGACTTGACAGATTCAGACTAGAGTTCACAGAAACAACTGGAAACAAACTTAGCTTCCTTTCAAAACCACTAAAGTACTGCCTTAAGTTTTTACACATTAATCAATTAAGTATAATTGTCTCCCAATCTAGAAAAGCCAGAATGATTCAAAGAACTCAAAGGGTTATGTCTCTGCAAACGATTCTTGACTTCACCAAAGGATTCACTGCAGAATTAATTCCCTGTAAAAATCTGTACCTCCTATAGTTTTCAACATGTTCTATCTTTAAACATAACATTTACACAGAAGTGTTCACAAGCATATGTAATGTGGAATTCACGCGTTACTTGTGTAAATCATTACAAATATGTACTGGAATTAAAATTTTTAATCACTTAGGAATATTTTCAAATGCTTCTGAGTCTCCGATATCATACGAAGATTATGCAATCCTTATCCGTGATTTGGTTTAGGCACCTAAATTCCAACTTTTAAAAAAGTTAGAGCCCAGTAAAAAGGCATGGGAATCAATCTTATTCGTCTTCTTAAAATGTGTCTTGCATAACATCCTGATTTGACGTGCATGGTGAATGCAGGGTAAGAATGACACATTTGTTTTTGTTTTTGTTTTTTTTTAAAGTATGAGTGTACAGTGGAGTGTTCCAGAGGTTACATGATGTGCTAACCACAACAGTCTGAAGATTTAAGAATTTTCTATTGAACCAGACATTAAAAAGATTTGCAAAAATTTAAGGTGTCACTCAACATATCTATGTTAACATGCAATGGATTTTTTTTTTTTTTTGGAAGGAAAAAAAAAAAAGAGAGAGAAAAGAAAAGCCATCTTTAGTTTCCTTAAATTCAAAGTCTGAGCCTGAAAATGGAAGTATCAAAGCTGATGGTTATACGTCAGTGAGAAAAAAATTTAAACCAAGTTGGCTGGGTCTTTACATGAGATAATCTATCCGCAATAAAGAATGTCTGTCCACTAACTTCTGCATAATATATGAGAGGGCATCTTTTAATTCTGGGAGGGCAATGTACTTTACAAGGACTTTACATTTACAGACTACATCAAACCCTTTTCCAGATAAAAATTATACTTCGGTAACTTGCCTGAATCGAGAGAGTAAAACAGTCCGGAGAAAAAACTTAAAATGTTTCCACATTATCAAGCCCCCTTCAGAAGTACTGTGGTCTCTGCCCCTCCTTTGAACAGATGTCTGCTCGCCATAGTCCAATCAGATTTAAAGCAAGAGTATCTGTACTGAAAACAAGCTTAAAGTAGGAAGACACACACAAAGCAGGCCTGTATCATTCCTTTGGTTTCAGTTTTCACGTTGCACCCTTGAGGTTAGGCACGCTGATTTAACACAGTAGGAGAGCTTCACCGAAACACACTAACCACACACTGATGAACTGTGCCCTGGCAGAGATGACCTGGCAAAATTCTCAACTTCTTCCCTGAGGCCGTGCACCCGGCAGTCTCGGCGGCGAAGTCTTTGGGGCAGAAGTGCCGAGCCTTCAGAACGGCAGGCTTCTCCCTCTCAGGACTCCAGGCCCCGCGGCCAAGGCTGTCTCTGCGGCGGCCCCGCGCGGGACAGGCCTGGCTCTCCCGTTAACTCCGTCCGGGCGGGCCGCTCCCGTCCCGGCCCGAGCGCCTCGACCCCGCAGCACAGAGCGCCCAGAACCGACCGCCCCAGTAGCTCGTTACCCCCTCCGGAGAGCCCGGCGGGGCCGTCAGGCTGCCCAGACAAAGGATACCGCGGCGCCCAGAGGCCGACGCCCGGCCGCGCCTGTCTTCCTCCCTCTCCCGCCCACCGCCAACCTCCAGTCGCCCGCAAAAACCCCCGATGCCTCAGCTCGACCCCATCGCTACCCTGGGGCGGCCGCTCGGGACGGGCCCGCCGGGTAGCAGCGAAGAGGCCGCGGCACGCCAGGGCCGAGGAGGGGGCGGCGGCCGCCACCATGTCTGCCCGCCCCTCCCAGAAGCGGGGTGCCCAGCGGACAAAGCGCAGCGGCGGGGCGGGCGGAGCGGGCGCCCAGGCCGACCCCGCCGACCCCCGCGGAATAAGCGGGGCCAGGAGCCCCGGAAACCCGGCGCCTTAATGCAATAAACAGGAAATCGCGGGGATGATCTGGGTTCCGGGGGAAGTGGAATTATTTTTTACCAGCGAAGAGATCAACTTCCACATCCGGTGGTAACAGGGCCCTACACAGACCCGCACTGACCTGGAAAAGCTTCGGGAGCGGCGACGGGGAGGCAGCAGGAGGTGGTGCGGGGACCCAAGGCGCCTCGTACCCGGCCGGGCTGACGCGGCCCCGCTACACACAAAGCGCTTCAGCTGCACAGGGCGCTATTTTCCGAAAATGCCGCGTCTGGTCGGCGCCCAAAATCCCCACCGAAAAGTCCCCCGTGCTGCGCGCGGAGGGACACATGGTGTGCGAGTGAGTCAAGCTCCCAGCATCCCTCCCGGACGTGGCCCTCGTCAACTCCTCTTCCGAGGATTTTCCGTCTCTGCACTCGTCGGCAGATCCCGCTACTACCCACTCCCTGACTCTGTTCCGGAGGGGAGAGAGGAGAAAAAGGGTCTGATTTTTTAACGAAGGGGAGGAAAATATGCCATTTCTAGCGCTTCAGCCACACAAAGAAAGCGGCGGAATGATCCGCTCTCTGCGACCGCAAGTCCCGGCTCGCCCGGCGCCTGCGCGGCAGCGGGGGTGGGAGCTGCGGCCGGCCATGTGCGCGGCGGAGAGGACGGGTGGCAGCGGAATCTTCCCGCCTGTTTGTTCGGTGGGTAGGAGTTTGGAAACTGATGTTCCTGTGCTACCCTTGGTGTCTCTGTGATGTGATCGTTGAAAGACGGAGACTGCGGAATCTTTGGAGTTTAAGCTTGCCAACTGAGCGGCCTAGCAGAATCCTGGGAGGCGGAAGGACAGCCAGGAGGCTAGGATTAACGTTAAAGTGGCCCTACATTCAACTAGGCAGACTGGGATGAGAGTCGCTGTGGAGGTACCAGGGAAGGAACGAGAGAGCTTCCTTTTCCACTTTTGTATAAAATCAGCAGTCAGGTTCATGACGAAGATGTACATATTTCTGTAGCTTTTTTTCCCCAACATTGTAATAGTGCCTCCCATTTCGTAGACCCTTGTAACTGCTTGCTAAATATCCTTGGATTACTGCCCTCTCAGAGGTAGAGCTCTGTTTCTCCGTGGCTGGAATGTCAAAAAATTTTGTTGTGTTCTATTGAGAAAGTAGCAAAAGTTTGTTTGGAGATGGAGATTTGCAAAGTTAAAAAAAAAAAAAAAAAACCACCTTTTGAACTTAATCTAGATGTGATTTGCTTAGGAGCTTAACACATTGGTATGTTTTTCACAGCGGAGCCTGGACGTGGCTTTCCTAACCTAAAAACTACAACTTCTAGCATCCTACCTACATCTAGGACTTGGGAATATTTGAGACAGCGCCAGTAATTTAATCCAGGAGAGTTGACAAGCTTCAGTGAAATCCATATTGCGTACTGATTTTGTGCTCCCTCAGATAAGTAATCTTTATCCACTCAGCCTTTTGTAATAATTGATGTAGTAAAGTTTTGTAGTCTGCGTAATTTATTAAAGCATTGTGCCTAAAATAGAAGAAAAGTAGCATAAAAATCATAGTCTATGTTTTATTTTGATTTAATATTTTCATTGCTTCAGTTAATAGAAATTTGTCAAAATTTTTCTGTAGCACTGTTTGAACAGTTAATTATTGCTGCAGAGTTGTTACCCCCATTGATTTTAGACTGTAGAATGTAGACAAGTAAATAGGCATCATCAGTATGATGAGAGTGAAGCTGCTGAATACTGTGGAATCAAATAAAGGAGGAACCCCTCATTAAACCAAGAGGGAGGAATAGAGTAGAATGGGACTGAAGAAGCATTAGCTTTCATAAGGGCATTGGGGGTTATGCCTGTAATCCCAGCACTTTGGGAGGCCGAGGTGGGCGGATCACCTGAGGTCAGAAGTTCGAAACCAGCCTCACCAACATGGAAAAACCCCATCTCTGCTAAAAATACAAAATTAGCCGTGCATGGTGCTACATGCCTGTAATCCCAGCTACTCAGGAGGCTGAGACAGTAGAATCACTTGAACCCAGGAGGCAAAGGTTGTGGTGAGCCCGAGATGGTGCCATTGCCCTTCAGCCTGGGTGACAAGAGCTAAACTCTGTCTCAAAAAAAAGAGAGAGTATTGGGGAAGACCTAGACAAGAAGCAGTAAGTACAGATGTTTGGAGGCAAACACTTGAGAGATTGTTGGGTAAAGAAGACAGTGCTGAAGATCTACTTCTGAAAGCCTTGAATGCTATATGCAGAAGTCAGCTTCTGAGAGCCAGGGCTATTGAAAGATTTTAAGTGAAAGAATCATAGGATTGAATTCATTTTAGACAGATCCCTGTTACACAAAAATTTGAGACGAGGAAAAGAGTTTGGAGAAAACAGTAGGCTGTTAGCCAATAATGACTTAAATTTAGTTGGTGGCAAGTAGGAGTGAAGAAAATAAAAGTGATATTAGTGAGATGTTTGGTTAACTGAAAATGACTGAGGGAGGGAGATGTCAAAGGTGACTCCCAGGTGAGTTGGAGCAGCTTGGAGGATAGTAATATCTTCACTGAGATTAGGAACAACAAGAGAGAATATATGTTAGGAAGGAAGAAGGCTCTGTTTTGACCATGTAAAACTTGAAGTGCCTGTGAGCCAACCAAGCAGTTAGGTATAGTCAGCAATTAGATATTCATTCAACACTTGTTGGAGGAGCACCTGCTCTGTGCCTGGCACTGTTCTAAACACTGAAATAGATAAAGCAGCAGCAAAACAAGCAGGTTTTCTACTCTTTTTAGAGGGAAACAGCATATAAACAAGTTTTAAAAATAGAGAATATCCCATAATAAGTTCGTGAAGAAGCCTGGTCGCAGTACCTCCCACCTGTAATCCCAGCACTTTGGGAGACCGAGGTGGGTGGATCTCCTTAGGTCAGGAGTTCAAGACCAGTGGGGCCAACATGGCGAAACCCCTTCTCTACTAAAAATAAAAAAAATAGCTGGGCACAGTGACACACGCCTGCAATCCCAGCTACTGAGGCAGAGGCGGCTACTGAGGCTGAGACAGGAGAATAGCTTGAACCTGGGACACGGAGGCTGCAGTGAGCCAAAATTGTGCCACTGTACTCCAGCCTGGGTGACAGAGCAGGACTCTGTCACAAAAAAAAAAAGTTCATGAAGAAGATTAAAGGGTGATTGGGTAAAGTGTTACTCTGAGGAAAATAGAGCAAAGTTTTGGTGGTTGGTTGATCAGAGATGGCCTCAGTGAAAAGGTATTAGGAAGGAATTAATAGTGTGAGACCAAAGGGAATAGCTGGGCAAAGGCCCTAAGGTGAGACGTTTGTTATGTTCAGGGAACAGCAAAAAGGTCAGTGTAGCTGAAGTCTAGTGAGCAAAAGAAGAAATGATACAAAGTGAATCGCTCAGCCTTGGTAAGAAGGTGAAGTGCACTGGAAGCCACTGAAGGATTTAAGAAATGGGAGTATCATGGACTAGGAGAGTAGCAGTAGAGATGAGGAAAGTGGATAGATCCAAAAAGCTGACCTGTCTTGCTCGCCAGTCAAATGAGGAAAGGGAGGAATCAATTGTGATTCCTAGGTTTTGGGCATGTTGTCTAGGTGGAATTAATTTTAATTATGCCCTTTGTTTAATCCAGTATATCCAAATAATACTTCACTTTGTGATCAATATAAAAAATTACTAAATATTAAAAATCCTAAATTAGTCTCATTTCACTTCCTGCATTACAAGTGGGTCTAGTTGCTACCATATTGGACAGTGCAGTTAATGAAATAGAGAATCGTGGAAAGTCAGACTTAAAAAGTTGTTTGGAACCAGCTCAGGAAGGCCTTGGATGTTAGATTAAAGGACTGAGATTTCACCCTTGAGTCAGGCAGAACAGTGGATAGTTTTCGAACTAAGGAGTGACACAACATTGTGCTTATGGCTAGAAAAAGGCCACTAGGTGGCCACCTGGTGAGTCAGGACACTCTTCAGTTGCTTTGACGTCAGCCCTGTGGACTCAGAAGTCTGATTTTTGTCAGTGCCCTAGTGCACTGTCACCTAAAGTATGGTCCACAGGGTAGTGCCAGTCTGTAAGCCCTTTGTTACACATCCATGACAAGGCATTTACAAAAGTAAGAAAGAATTTGGAAACTTAACAGCAATTTAACAGACTTAATTTTATTTCTGTGGGTCTAATAAATATTTGAGGGATTGTACTGTTGTATATGTCTTTATTTCCTTTTTTGTTTTTGTTTGAGACAGTCTCACTCTGTTGCCAGACTAGAGTGCAGTGGCGCAATCTTGGCTCACCGCAACCTCCACCTCCTGGGTTCAAGCAATTCTCCTGCCTCAGGCTCCCTAGTAGCTGGGATTACAGGCACATGCCACTACACCCCACTAATTTTTCGATTTTTAGTAGAGACAGGGTTTCGCCATGTTGGCCAGGATTGTCTGGATCTCCTGACCTCAAGTGATCCACCCACCTCGGCCTCCCAAAGGACTGGGATTATAGGCATGAGCTACCATGTCCAGCCTTTATTTCCTTTTTCTAATAATTTTTATCATATTATAAAAGTAACCTATGGTCTCACAGATGAAGGGAGTCAGAAGAACCAAACTCCCAGAAGACTTATGTAAATCTAAATGCCTTTTTTACTTTGGAGTGAAAACAGTGATAGCCAAACTATAATGGACATCTGCTTATTTTCTCCTTCCATGTAGACGTGGAAAGCTACATGGAAATAACCAAGTCTATAGTAGCTACCATACATTAAATGTTTTTTTGTATGCCAGCCACTGTGCAAAGCCTATTACATGTATTGTCTGATTTAATCTTCACAACTCTATAAAATAGGTATTGTCTGTACCATTTTTCCAATGAGGAAACTGAAGCTAAAATAGGTTGAATAACTTGCCTAAATTCACTAAGCTCAAAGGTGTTAGAGTTCTAGTATAGGTCTCTCATTTCATCATTAGTATTTCTAATCATGTAGGAAATGAGAGACCTGCACTGTATCTGTTAATACGAAATTCCCTGGCATAAAGACTCAGTAGGTTTTTTTAAAGAGAATGCATGAAG